AATCTTGAAACTTTCTTCTAATACTACAACAGTTTTTTTTTAAAGGTGGCCCTTGGTCTCCATACTGATCATTATTAAATGCTGCCTCTGGTGGGCCCAGCCAACCTATCTCAGTGCCCACTCTGAGAAGTTCATATCTCTGGCTTCCATCTGGATTTGGGAAGAAAAGGCCAGAGTACATGGGGCTGTGGTAAACACATGTTTTCTTTTTTACACTAGTTAAACCAGAAATTGCTCAGGTTGGAGCTAAGTACCAGGATGCTGAGGGCCCAGGCCTCCTGGTTGTCCTGTTTGCCCTGGTACGTGCCAACCCACCTGCCAATGTCACCTGGATTGACCAGGACGGGCCAGTGACTGTCAACACCTCTGACTTCCTGGTGCTGGATGCTCAGAACTATCCCTGGCTCACCAACCACACTGTGCAGCTGCAGCTCCGCAGCCTGGCACACAACCTCTCAGTGGTAGCCACCAATGATGTTGGTGTCACCAGTGCCTCGCTTCCAGGCCCAGGTGAGGAGTGTTAACAGCTGGCTCAGCAAAGCCTTAGGTAAGAGCAAGGATCACAGTACAGAAATGGGAGGACTTCACTGCCCTTTGGGTGGGCCTTGTGGAATGAGTTGTCCTTAGCCACCACAGGCAAGGAGGACAGAGTAGTTCAGCCTATGGCATCTCGGGGTTGTGGGTATTACCCACCTGGAGGCTAACCATGTACAATCTGCAGGGCTCCTGGCCACACGGGTGGAAGTGCCACTGCTGGGAATTGTCGTGGCTGGAGGGCTTGCCCTGGGAACCTTAGTGGGGTTCAGCACCTTGGTGGCCTGCCTAGTCTGCAGGAAAGAGAAGAAGACCAAAGGTAAGGCCAGGGATGTTGGGGGCAGAGGGTGGCTGGAGGAGTGGCAATGAGGTTGGGGTAAGCAGCAAGTGGAGCTGGGTAACTTCTGCCATTTGGCAGGATGTGGCAGCAGGTAAGACACATCCAAGGTAGCAGGGACAAGCACAAAGAACCCAGTCTCTGGTCCCAAGGCCAGGGTAGGGCATTTGAGAGACTCCTTTCTAGAGTCTAGTTTTGAAAGGGCAAGGGCCAGAGTCTGCTGTGGGTGGGCACACTGAGAATCAGTGGCATGGTTTCTTTCTCCTCAGGCCCTTCCCGACGCCCGTCTCTGATCTCTAGGTAACTCCTCCTGGGGCTGGGTGGATGGGCTGACCCCAAGTGCAGAATGGAGACAGGTGGAAACCCGGGGTTTATGGGAGGTCTGGGATATGCTTCAAAGCAGGAGCCTGTGCCTGCTGGTGCCAGGCACATCTCACCCTGTTTCTACTTTGTAGTGACTCTAACAACCTGAAACTCAACAATGTGCGGCTGCCACGGGAGAACATGTCCCTCCCGTCCAACCTTCAGCTCAATGACCTGGCTCCAGTTTCCAGAGGTACATCCAGGACACCTCTGCTTGCCCCTGCTTTATCTTCAAAAGGGGGCTTCTGAGAAAAAGAGAGATCCTGGTTCTTATGGGAGCCAAGGCTTCATCCAGCACACCACTCATCCTGGGCACCATCCTCTTTGTCACCCAGCAGAGAAACTAGCAGACCGGCCGATGGCTCAGAACAGCAGCCGGCCAGAACTTCTGGAACCTGAGACTGGTGGCCTCCTCACCAGCAGAGGTACTGGGGAGCAGGACTGCCACCCTACTTCTTATGCCCCAGCCCTGTGCTTATGCCAAAGGCCTCTGAATACCAGAGGGCAGAGAGGGCTTCCTTGGGTTCTAGGGAACCAAGATTACTGAGTCCTCTGGGAATCTTTGACCCTGTAGGTTTCATCCGCCTCCCAATGCTGGGCCACATCTATCGAGTGTCCAGTGTGAGCAGTGATGAGATCTGGCTCTGAGCAAGGTGACTCAGGAGTGCCCTTTGGCCCCAGACACCCTGAGCCCCCTGCCCCATGCTCCTCCAGTACATGCTCTGCCTGGCCATGTGGCCAACATGAAGAAGCCATGCCACTGCCTGGTCGTCCTGGCTGGGGTACTCTAGGGGTCAAGTGTATGATCTATTTCACTGGGATCTGACCCGTGGGACACAGGTATCCTTGGCAAGGCTGCCAGCCAGAACTAAGCCCCTTGTGCTAATACAGGTTGGGGCCTGCATGCAATGACTGGGCCCGGGCAGATGTAGCTGTTTGCTTAGGTGTGTCCGGGTCACCCAGCCCCTAAGTGTGCCAGGGTCTGCTACATGCCCTACACCCCATACTCAACAGCACTTTGTATAATAGGCATTGGGGGGCTTATAAGTAGGGAGGGCCCTGCATGTCTTGAATGTCCTTATGCTATGCAGCTCTGTTCCCTCAGGGAGAGAATCAAACTGCCCTTTGCACAAGAACCAATCTGTGGCCCAGGGGCCTCTGTCAAACACAAACTAGTCCATTTCGCTGCATACCTCTTTCTCCTCCACGCCATGCCACTGGCCCTGCATCTTCCTGGATATCACAAGTTATACACTGGATTTTGTTTCTTCACTGGGTCCTAAACTTCCATATTGGCCTGGCCCCCAGCAGTGCCAGTGCCTGGTGTTAGCACAAGACTGGGAAGAAGAGAGCGGTGACAAGTCTGGTGGCATCCAAGACTGTATGTAGCTATGCATCAATTTTTACAGCATTAGCACTTTAAGCACATCCCCTAGGGGAGGGGGTGAGGGAGGGCCCAGAGCTCTCTTCGATCCCCAGGTTTGGCCTTCCTCTGATTCACTGTGAGTGTCCTGTGAGCCCTCAGGGTAGATGGTTTCCCTCTCAGCATGTCTCCCTTCCAGGGGACCCCAGCCGTGACCAACCCTCACTGCCCCATCCACAGGAAGCAACTTGTCCTACCCCTCCCTCTGCTCTTTAGGTGGGGCTAAAGTGGGCATATGGTTCAACAGGTCCAGAAACTTTATGGAGACATAGAGAAACAGGGAGTCTGCATACTCCACAATGACCTAAGAATGCTTCTAAAAAGCAACATGGAAATGACTGGAAATTAGCAGAGTGCACAGTGTATTTTTCCCTTGTTTTGTATTTTTGTCATGTTATTGCCTAGGACAGTGCTGAGCACACAGTAAAATCAATAAACTTAACTGAATGAATATGTTTGATTTATTTCTTCAATTTTGGTTTTTTTTTTTTTTGGTACTGGGGATCAAACTCAGGACCTTGTGCTTGTGAGGCAGGCGTGGTGCCACTGAGCTAAATTCCCAGCCCCTCTTCAAATATGTTCTCAAATGAAAACAAAAATTTTTGGTGGTACTGGGTATCAAGCCTTGTGTATTCTAATATGTTTTACCCAGAGCTACATCTCTAGCCCTTAAGTGAAGTATTTGGATCACACAGTATAAACTGGGCACAGTGGCACACCTATAATCCCAGCACTGAGAGGCTGAGGCAAGAAGGTATCAAGTTCACACCTGCCCTGAGCAATTTAGTGACTAAGCAAGACCCTGTCTCAAAATTTTTAAATTTTCTTTTAAAGGGATAGGGATGTAGCTCAGTGGGGATGTAGCTCCTCAGTACAAGGGGGAGACTGAGTCAGAGCAGAGCACCCAGCTGATCTGGTATCAGTGAGACCTGCTCTCTGTGTGTGGAAGTATATGATTGTGGTCGATTAGAGAATTTGTAAAAAACCATTCCTTTCCCATCTGGATGCATATTGTGCGTATCTAAAGCTGGTAGTGTAGCATCTTAATGTTGTCTTCCCCTCTAATGCTTTCTCTCTGTATCAGTAGTTGGCTCCATTACCTAGTTGCTTGAGCCCAAAACACCTAGAAGTCATCCTTGATCTCTTCCATGATCCACATCGAGTCTCACCAAGTTCTTTCAGTTCTGCCTTGGTAAAAAGGGAACTTCAAAGGGTGTCAGTAGTCAGGCCTGCTGAGCTTCCCCACCCAGGCTGTTTGCAGTAGCTCACACCTGTGTGTCCAGTCACATTTCAGCCATCACCCCAGACTTCCCTCATGCCTATGTAGTGATGTCTCCATGAAAATGCAAAACAATGGGGCTGAGGGCTTCCAGATAGCCAAACTCTATTCTGTACTGCTGGATTTCCCAGATTCCCCTGCCCGCTCTTCATCTCTGCATCCCCATAACTGCAGTGGGGGAAGTGAGGGTGGGTGGTCTTCAGCAGGGCCATGCATAGCACCTCAGCCTCTCAAGACTGCAGACCTTTGTTGCAGTTGCCTGCTGTGGACACCACCTGTGTGTGACCTTTGTGTGGCTTCAGTACCCTCCATTCTCCCTTCTCCTTCAGTCCTTGCCAACACTTCGGCAAACAATTTCCTCCATGAAATGCTTTTTGTTAGAAATTACTAGCATGGTTTCAGATTTCCTGACTGGAGCATAGCAGATAAAATTCCACAGTATTTCCTCTCTGTCCATCTCTACTCGCATCATGCTACCACAAGCCATACTCATTTCTCACTGGATTACTGTCATAGCAGGCTCCATGGGACTACAGACAGACAGGAGCCCTAGAAGGAAGGCAGCTTTCCCTGCAGAAACCCCCAAAAAATCAAATTCTGAGAGAAAAATTACTCCCCCAATCAGTAAACAGTTAGTTCTGCAGCAGCACTGAAGACCTGGAATGGGTCCTCTAATGCGATTCTGACACTAGCTACCTCGAGACAGCACTGGATCCCACAGGCTGGCTGCTCAATCAGGCCATTTCCCCACTTCAGATGCCAGTCACAAGCCCGTTTGTTTTACCTGTGCTTTTGACCAATCAGAAATAAATTGGGGTTACTGCAAACTTCCTTGGGGGTCCAGTGATTTTGTGTGAGCAGCTCACAGAACTCAGAGGAACACATTACTGGCTCAGGATATTACAAAAGGCACAGATGAGATGCACAAGATGGGTGTGGGGAAGGTGTGTAGAGCTTCCAGGCCCTCTCCAGGCAGTCACCTTCCAGGAACTTTTATGTATCTAGCTCTCCAGAAGCTCTCTGAACCCTGGCCTTTGGGTTTACATGGAGAATTGATTACACAGGCATGATCAAATGCAAATGGACACAAAGCACATGATCTAATGCTGGGCTGGGAAAGCCAGCAGGGACCATCTGTTGAGATTCTTCAGTACCGTTTCCTGGAGAACATGGGGCAGGACCCCTCCTGAAATGGAGGTCTCAACATCTACTAATAGACAGGTAGGTCACAGAATTTAAGATTAAATTTCTCTGACTTGCCTTGGGGAAGAGAAATCCTGTTTCTGTGGCCTGCCTTGAGAAACAAAAGGGAGCAGGTAAAAGGAGGCAGAAAGTCGGAAGCAGTATGAGGCTTTCTGAGGCCTGTGGCTCCCCAACAATATTCTAGTCACTTAGGAAATAATAAGGGCAATGGAACTGTGGATACAAAAAAAGTATCACAAATTGACATACTGTTTTATTTGTAAAATCACTGCCAACTAACTTTAAGAATGAAAGAAAAGCTGGGCTGGTGGTACATGCTTCTAATGCCAGCACCCAAGAGGCTGAGGCAAGAGGACTGCCATGAGTTCAAGGTCAGTCTGAATTACAGAATGAGACCTTGTCTGAAAAAACAAAAACAACAAAAAACAAAAATAAAAGAAAATAATTCCTGTGCCCAAAAGATTATCTTTTAAACTTTACCTCCCAATCTGTGCTCTGTGGGATCTCAAAAATTCAACTCCTGGGCTGGAGATATAGCTCAGCGGCACAGCATCTACCTGGCAATCATAAGGTCCCAAGTTCAATCCCCTGATACAAAAAAAAATTCAATTCTCAAATCCCCACAGTGATATAGATGTGTAACTCTCCTGTTAAAGCAATCTGAATCAGGCAGAGGCGGTCAACAAATGTGTGTTTTCTGCAGGGAGGGTACAGGACAGTGCCAGCCCAGCCTAGCTACAGAACAGATAGGTGCCAAGTGGCTGACAAGGCTCTGTCATCTCAGACTCCACACAGACTCCTGGGGTGTCTCAGCTGAGGGTTAGAGTCTCTGCCTCTCCTGCTTGGGAGGTAGAGTTGGATGGAGGGGTGAATACTTTCTTGCCTTCAGCCAGAGCTTTAAAATGCTGCCAGGAAAGAAGAGAGAGAACACTGAATATATGGGATGTGCTAGTTGCCACATTTTAGCAAGAACTGTCTTTTAAAGATACTTTAAACTCCTAATTTTCTCCCAGCTCAGCTTCCAAACCAATTCCTTGGTGCTGGCTTTGAAAATCAACTAGAGGGCAGGGGATGTAGCTCAGTGGCACCACATCTGCCTCGCAAGCACAGGTCCTGAGTTTGATCCCCAGTACAAAAAAGAAAGAAAATCAACTAGAAATTTCCCCGGCTTCCTTCTTAAATGAATCCCTTTTTCCTTTCTTGCTTCTGTTCATGAAGCCACTTGAGTCTCCTCTTAAGCACTGGTGTCCCCTGCAGGTCCTCACCATCTGAGGTCCTGCCTCTGTTCCTTTCCCCATCCCTACCTCCTCTGCTGTTCTTGCTCTTTTTTTTTTTGGTACCAGGGATCAGACTTGGGACCTTGTGCTTGTGGGGGCAGGTGGTAGAACCACTGAGCTAAATCCCTGGCCCTGTTGTTCTCTTTATTAAAGAGCAACAGTAACTCTGGGCAGGCACATTCTCCATTGCCCCAGGACACAATCATAGGAGGCCCAGAACCTGGAGACTCCTCACTACAGCTCCATTAACCCCTTCTGTGTGTCTCACCTGTGAGTTCTTGAATTCTGAGTAGAGGGAAAACAGCAAATGGAGGGACTGAATCCGACTCTTATAAACAGGAATGTCCAGGATGGCTGAAATGAAGAACAGCTCCCAGGAACAGAACCAGACAAACTCTGGGGACTGGGGGGCATTTCTGTTTAGCACAGTCAATCCCTTCCCAGAGCGGGGTTAAATGCCCAGTGAGTAGTCACAGGAGCCGGAACACCACTCTTGAGGGCTGCCACACATCACAACTGGCTTATAGTAGAGACAAAATCAAGACACCACCTTCCCAGAGTCAGTAAGCCCTTGCAAAAGTCTCAAATGCAGCTATACTGGAAAAGGCTGGAGGAGCTTACCACAGATCACATCGATGTACTCAGCCAGGCTGCAGTCCATCTCTGCAGTCGGCAGGCTCACCTGCAAGAGTGGAGATGGCCCACATTAAAAAGGCTCAACTGGGCCAGCGATTTAGTTCAGTGGCACTGCACCTGCCTTGCAAATGCAAGGCCTTGAGATCAATCCCTAGTACCAGAAGAAGAAAAAAAGAAAGAAAAATGAAATCATATGGTTTCTTTTAAATAAGAAATCAGAGCTGGGGATTTATCTCAGTGGTGCTGCCACCTGCCTTGCAAGCACAAGGACATGAGTTCAATCCCTGGTACAAAAAAAAAAAAAATCCAAAATATAAATAAAGAATAAAGTAATGATAGGAAATAGGGAAATAGATCTTTTGCAAAAATGAAGGAAACCAAGAGACACAGGGAGGGCAGAAGAAGGAGATGGAAAAAGAATTAAGAGGTGTTATATACATGTACTAATTCCCCATGAGGAATATAATCATTATGTACCACAAACTTACTGATACAAATTAAAATGGTAATGTTGCATAAGTCTTTTACATTGCTGGTGGGAATGTAAACTCATAGAACTACTACAGAAATCAGTACGGAAATTTCTCAAAAAACTAAAAAGATTCTATGTTGCATAAGTCTTTTACATTGCTGGTGGGAATGTAAACTCATAGAACTACTACAGAAATCAGTACGGAAATTTCTCAAAAAACTAAAAAGAAATTCCATTTGATCCAGTTATTCCCCTTCCAGCCATCTCCCTAAAAGAGTTAAAGACATCCTATTACAGTGGTGCATGTATATCCATGTTTACAGCAGCACAATTTATAATAGCGAAATCTTGGAAGTGGCCTATATGTATCAACAGATGAATGGATAAACAGTCACTTATACACAATGGAGTATTACTCTGCCACAAAGATGGATAAACCTAAGTCATTTGCAGGAAAATGGGAGCTCCTTGAGTCCATAATGTTAAAGGAAATAAACCGGACACATAAACTTAAAAATCACATGGTTTCTAGGGCCTGGGATTTAGCTCAGTGGTAATGTTGCATAAGTCTATGAATGTACTAACACCACTTAGTTGCAAGTACAAGGTCCACTGTTTGATCCCCGGTACTGCACCCCCAAAGGCTCAAGTGTTCGTGTACCCAGCACCATTCCCTGCACAAAAAGAACTCCTAGCGTAAAGCAGGGTAATGGCTGAATCGCACAGAGTCCTCAAAATTCCTATGTTGAACTCAACTTCCAGAGCCTCAGAACATGCCTGTATGTGGTGATAAAGCATCTTTACAGAAATAATTACATGGAAATGAGGTCACTGAGATGGGCCCTAATCCAGTATGACGGGTATCCTTACAAGGAGAATCAGGACACCGGCAGACTGAAGACAGAGGAAATGAACAAGAGAGACTCCAGAAGAAATCAGAAGATTTTAGATTTCCAGTCTCTAGAACTGTGAGAAACTAAGTTTCTGTTGTTTAAACCACCAAGTCTACAGTATTTTCTACAGTAGCCCTAAGAAACCAATACAATTTGTGTAGTAATACAACTTCCATTGGTAAAATGGAATCAGTTATACTCATTAACTACAAAGGTAGTGGATGATCTACTGGGGCCAAAAGATTTTATAAGTAAAATATACTGGTAGGCTATCTTGTAGTGTGGATCATGAAGAATCTGGCCCCAGGTTCACGGCCAGGTATTTAGTGACTTGTTCTAATGTGAAAGGTTCTAGAACACCATAGAAACAGAGAAAATAGACATAGCATCTCACTCAGATGACAGACCTTGGATTTAAACAAGTCATATTGTAAGTTTAAAAACTACTGACTTTTTAATTTTTTTAGCAGTTTTTGGGTTTTTTTGGGGTGGGGGGAGAGATAGGGTCTAACTATGTAGTTCAAACTGTCCTTGAATTCACTATGTAACCTCAGCTGCCCTCAAACTCAAAGTGATCCTTCTGCCTCAGCTTACTGAGTGCTGGGATTACAAGTGTGCACCACCATGCTGGCTAACTACTGACTTGTTAAAACATTTTTTCTGGTTTTACAAAGAACTAGAGTACATATAGTCTTACAACTCATTTTTTTTCATTTTATAATACAGCATTGTTATTTCTTTATATTAGAGCCAAAAAACACCATATAATATTCAACTGCATAGCATTTCATTGAATGGATGTACTATAATCTAGCTATTCAATTGCCTGATCAAGGGCTGAAGGTGTGTAGCTCAGTTGTAGAGCACTGTCCTGGCATTCATGAGTCCCTGGGCTTAATTTCTAACACTGCAAAAACAAAACAAACAACAACAAAAACCCCACCTGCTTTTTTTTTTTGGTACTAGGGATCAAACTTGGGACCTAGCATTTGTGAGGCAGGCGGCAGCACCACTGAGCTAAATCCCTGGCCCCCCACCTTTCTTCTATACCAAACTCCCACAAATACACAGGTTTATTTTGTATGTCTACTTCCATGCCACTGTCTTTTTTTTTTTTTTTCCCCCAGTACTGGGAATTAAACTCAAGGTCTTTGCACTGAGCCATATCTTTACTCCTTTTTTGAGACAGTGTCCAGGCTGGGTTCTAACTGGTGATCTTCCTGCCTTAGCAGAATACAGGCATATACCACTAGACCTGGCTCCATGCCAGTACTATGTACTATATATATTTGTGTGTGTGTGTATACATACATACATACATACATACATATATATTTTTTTGGCGGGGGGGCTTTTTGAGATAGGCTTTTCCATGTAGGCCAGGTGATCCTCTTACTTCAGCCTCCTGAGTGCTGGGATTACAGGCATGTGCTATTTACAACAGTATACTTTTATAATTGGACATCTTATGAGCAAATCCTTTTATCCCTAAAATTTTCATTATGTGTTAAATGTTTATTCTTTTTTACTTTTTCTCTTTCTTATTTTATTTTTTGAGACAAGATCTTGCTATCAAAGACTGGCTGGCCTTGAACTCATGATCTTCCTGCCTCAGTTTCCTGAGTACTTACTGGGGGATTACAGTTACATAACACTATGCTCAGCTTTAAAAATTTATTCTTTTTTTTTTTTTTTTAACAATTTTTTTTTTTTTTGGTACCGGGGATTGAACTCGGGTCCTTGTGCTTGCAAGGCAGGCCACCGAACTGCTGAGCTACATCCCCAGCCCTAAAAATTTATTCTTGCATATTAACTTTATTATCAGCTTTTTTTTTTTGGTTTTTTGAGACAGGGTCTCACTATGTAGTTGAGACTGACCTGGAACTCACTATGTAGCTCAGACTGGTCTCGAACTCACCGAGATCCTCCTGCCTCAGTCTCCCGAGTGCTGGGATTACAGGTGTGCGCCACCACGCCCAAATTATTATCAGCTTTTTAATTTCTAATACAGTAAAAACTCTGATGGAAATGCATTATACTTACATAGTATGTTGGAGAGGACTGATGATAACTCTATAAAACTGAATTCTTCCATCAAAGAGCAGTTTTAGTCCTCAGTCATTCATATCTCATTTTATGTCCTCTATTAGAATTTTATAGTGGAGTTTTTTATTGTTGACATTGAGCTTTGCTTGCTTGGTTTTGTTTTTGAGACAGGGTCTGGCTATGTAGTCTAGATTGGCCTTGAACTTTCTGTGCACTCCAGGGTAGCCTTGAACTCAAGATCTTATACCACTATGTTTGGCTCCATTAAAGTTTTGCCATTTATTTTCAAAAAAGTCTTAGCAATCTTGAATTTTTGGGGGGAGGGGGTACCAGGGATCAAACTCAAGACCTCGCGCTTGCGATGCAGGCATGGTGCCACGGAGCTAAATCCCCAGCCCTACGTGTACACTTCTAATCGTGTATTATACTTCAATAGTGAGTCAGTGGTGAGGAGCTGGGGACACAGCTCAGTGGCAAAGCACTTGCCTACTATGCTCCAGGCCCTGGGTTCGATTCCTAGCACTAAAAAGATCCACGGTGATGATAATAGTAATATAGGAAAACATGGGGTCCTGTAATGAATGCCACACGCTCTTACCTCCTACTACTTTCCACTCACCTTGCCCAGAAGCTCTTCAAACTCTGGAGACCATTCCTGCATCAGTGTGTCAATGTCGGGCATGGGCCTAAAAGTTCAGAGGTAAATATGAACAGGATACCTAGACTGATGACATCAGTAATCTGTGGATCAGGATATTCCAGGATAAGAAGAGGTCTTCAATCTGGCATGCTACAATTTCAGGAGAACTTAGACCATGCAAACCAAATTGACCCAGGGTCTGGGGCTTGGAAGAGTTAAGTAATTTCAATCTTTATGTCCATAAGCTAAGCCAGCAGCCATCAACTTTTCAATTTCTAAATAGTAGTGAAAAATGTACTTTCTTTTCAGGACCTCAGGCTGATTATATTTGTCCCCAGGCTTTAGGCCTCTTCTCAGGAGCAGTGGTTCCCAGGTGTTGAAGGGTCCTGGACTGCTGCGCTGAGAAACATGGTATCTCTCACCTGGTGTAGTAAATGGTCGCAGGGGGCTTAGAGCGGTGCAACTCAGAGATGCTCTCGATCCATGTGTCAATGGCTTTGGGATTCTTTTCTGCATCTTCCAGGCTCTTTACTTTCATATGTTGCTT